TGGAGGTGTTCAAGGCCAGGTTGGATGGGGCCCTGGGCAGCCTGGGCTGCTGTGAAACGGGGGGAGGTTGGTGGTGGGAGGTTGGAGCTTCATCACCCTTGGGGTCCCTTCCAACCCAACCCAACCCAACCCAACCCAACCCAACCTTTCTGCAATTCTTGGTGCTGGATCAGGTCTTGTTCAACGTCCACAAGCTGGATGAAGGGACAGATTCCACCATCAGCAACTTATCTGATGATGCAAAGCTGGGAAGAGTGGCCGGACACAGCAGCTGAAATCAAAAGGACACAAAATGGCACGACTGGGGGAAAAAGTCGCGTTCATGTGCGCGATACAAGAGCTTAATAAAAATGTATCATCTTTCATTCCATTGCAGTTTGCCAAAGACTGATGTCCCAGTGTGGAATATGGCATCCAAGGCGAAACAGAGTCAACGAGACAGCGTTGGTGCTGGGAAAAACAAGGAAGTAAGAGCAGGAAATAGGGAAGAACTGCGAAGAACCAGAAATGGAGATACATCCAAAAGTGCCATGGAAACAGTCGTCGGAGAGAGGAATGCGTACCTGCAGAAGGAGTCCGAGATTCTTAGCGAGCACATGAACACATACATGGGCAGAGTGGAGCGCTTCCTACGGGAGAATAAATTCCTGGAAGAGGAAGCCAAACGGAATCGGCAAGAGAGTAACATTTATCTCTCCTACCTGTCGAAACACGGCCAGAAGTGTCAGAATCTGATGATAACGTTAAACGAGCAGAATGAAACCGATCTGTCTCAGGTCCGGCAGCAGAAAGAGAAGCTCGTCTCACGGTACGCAGAACGAGAAAGGGAGGCCAGGAGCCGCCTGACGGAGGTGGAGGCGAAGTACGCTCTTCTGAACAGTGAGGTTGAAGACCTGCAGCCTTTCAAAGACCTGCAGTTGGAACAGACGAGGAAGATGAAAGAGCTGGAGAAGGAACTGCTGGTGGCGAAGATCCGTCATTCAGAAGAGATGCACCAAATCAAGAGCCGGTTTCTGCAGGCCAAAGCGGGTCGCGAGGAGGACTCCCGTCAGAAGATCCTGCTGCTCAGCAGGAGAGCAGAAGCAGCAGCAATGCGCTCCTTAATTCAGCATATCGAGCAAGTGAAAGCTGAGAACCGGCGTCTGCGCCAGGAATTGCTCGGGCTCATCCGATGCTCCGAGGTCCTCAAGGAAATCCAAGCTGAACTGAGGGAGCAGCAGCAGCAGCTGCTTCGGGAGCAGTGGTGCACCCAGGACGTGGCACACGCACGGCGCAGGCTGCACCGGCAGGAGGCAACCTGCAGCTCTCACAGCCCTTTTGGATGCGGATATTAGCCTGGAGAAACACTTCTCTGAGCCTCACCGGTGATGCTGTGTCACCACATCTCGCTGGACACCAATGGCTGTTGCGGCCGGTTAGGTCACTGAAGGCTGCAAAGCGATCAGGGTGGCTGAGTGTTGTGTGCGTGGATGAAAGGAGCCACTGACACAGCTCACACTGTATTTACTGACACCACGGAATGAACGGACGAAGGCCGACTCCTCCAGCAACAGACTTCATTGAATTTACCTTCCGCTGGACTCCAAAGGGCAGAAAATAAACAGGCAAGCAACCAAAGTTTCCAACCACATGTGCACTCGAGGTATTTGATCTTTGGTCTTAACAATGAGTACCATATATTCATTTTCATCTTTGCTTTCTTTTCTTTTTTCTCCTTCAGTCTTTGCTTTCTTTTTTTTTTTTCTTTTCTTCTTGCTGTGGTGTTTCACTTGAAAAGCAGGAGGCAGACAGTAACAGCAGCCTGTTGTGTCATTCACATTGCAAGCTGAAACCTCTGGGTTTTATTTATCTCATCAACAATGACATCACAGAGTCACAGCATGGCCCAGGTTGGAAGGGACCCCAAGGATCACAACAATGTCCCATTCAAGACCCATAGAGACACGTTGGGACCCATAGAGACACGTTGGGACCCATAGGGACACGTTGGGACCCATAGAGACACGTTGGGATCCATAGAGGCACACTGGGACCCATAGAAATACATTGTGACCCATAGAGACACGTTGGGACCCATAGGGACACATTGGGACCCATAGAGGCACACTGGGACCCATAGAAATACATTGTGACCCATAGAGACACGTTGGGACCCATAGAGACACGTTGGGACCCATAGAGACACATTGGGACCCATAGAGACACATTGGGACACATAGAGACACATTGGGACCCATAGAGACACGTTGGGACCCATAGAGACACATTGGGACCCATAGAGACACACTGGGACCCATAGAAATACATTGTGACCCATAGAGACACGTTGGGACCCATAGAGACATGTTGGGACCCATAGAGACACATTGGGACCCATAGAGACCCATAGAGACATGTTGGGACCCATTGGGACCCATAGAGACACATTGGGACCCATAGAGACACACTGGGACCCATAGAGACACATTGGGACGCATAGAGACACATTGGGACCCATAGAGACACATTGGGACCCATAGAGACACGTTGGGACCCATAGAGACACATTGGGACGCATAGAGACACGTTGGGACCCATAGAGACACATTGGGACCCATAGAGACACATTGGGACCCATAGAGACACATTGGGACGCATAGAGACACATTGGGACCCATAGAGACACGTTGGGACCCATAGAGACACGTTGGGCCCCATAGAGACACGTTGGGACCCATAGGGACACATTGGGACGCATAGAGACACATTGAGACCCATAGAGACCCATTGGGACCCATAGAGACCCATAGAGACATGTTGGGACCCATTGGGACCCACAGAGACACATTGGGACCCATAGGGACACATAGAGACCCATAGAGACACATTGGGACCCATAGAGACACATTGGGACCCATTGGGACCCACAGCGACCCATAGAGACACATTAGGACCCATTGGGACCCATAGAGACCCATAGAGACCCATTGGGACCCATAGAGACACGTTGGGACCCATTGGGACCCATAGAGACCCATAGAGACACATTGGGACCCACAGAGACGCATTGGGACCCATAGAGACACATTGGGCCCCATAGAGACACACTGGGACCCATAGAGACAC